CTCTCAATGATGCAGATACAGGATGATGCAGATACAGGTGAGAGGGGGCCCCCCTCTCTCACCTGTATCTGCATCATCCTCCCTCTCTCACCTGTATCTGCATCATGAGCGCTGTGAGACGCATGACGAGGCGCGTCGTCGCGTCGGCCGTCACCGCGTACTCGCCGCTGCAGCGCCTCACCATCTCCTCCGCGTCGCCGACGCAGCGCCTCCTGGAGGCGAGCGGACCCGCTAGAGGCTCGACGATGCCGTGCTCCGGAGCGATCTGCAAACGGGAACGCGCGGCAGCGGTTATTAGGAATCGCGATCGCAAACCTGCCCGGTGAACGATCAGCGCTGGGTCTCGTAGCGAGACTCGGGTCTCATCGAGTCTCAACCGGAGGCCTGGACCGTCTCTACGGGACAAGGATCCATCGCGCCAACACGTGTGTGGGTTCGACGAGTTATCACTCGATGCCAGCGAGGTCTAAAGATAGCTGTGAGCAACAGTATAACACGATGACAGGACTCACGACACGACGGATAGTATACGTACAACAACACAAAGCTGCCGAGGGACGTGCAGAGATATGATATCTACCCACTCGAACAGTTGACATACGAATCAGTTTAGAGGAGGATTTCACATGGGGGCAGGGGGGTTGGATTATTTTCAAATTGAATCGAAAGAAGTCAAATTGAAAAGTGCAAGGAGAAAATGCGAGGCACATCCCGAACTGAGTGCGATTGCATGAGCAGGAGGTACGAACCGATGACCAGAAACGCACGAGTTTCACAAACTGGCGAGGGATTGCGCGACCGCTCTATGACCCTGCACGGACTCTCACCTCGCGGCAGTACTGCTGGATACCCAGCATGTGCTCGTTGAGGTCTAGGTTCAGCTGCTCCAGATCGAGAACCACCTGAGCATACTTCTTTTTGAAATCCTCGGTCAGCGCATCGTGGAGACTCTTCTGCAATGAAGGTAGCGTTGTTACACTTAACGATCCTCAAAAATAACAGTGGGGTTCCACTAATCTACTGAACCATGACCAGTAACTCTCGTGGCTTTTACGTCGTCCTAGCTACAGCATCCGACTGTTTATTAGCCTACAGTTTACATGGAAATGTGCACTCACTAGAGTAAAGAAGACAGCTCTGTTAGCATGAGCAGGGGGTATTACATTATTATCACATATATATGGCATGTAATTTAAACACAAGTAAATCTACTAAAAACATCGTCTTTTTCATGGAGAAAATACCTGATGAATGCAATAGTGTTGAGCAGTTAAAATAATGAAATTTCCAAGTAATACAATACAATACAACACCATGCAACACGTAGAAAAAATATAATAAAGTAACGATAACACTTTCTGTAGAGATAAGTGAGACATGTAAATGTGTTAGTCATCGTGGTGGTAGTGATATTGGTCGATGTATCGTAATGCTCACCATTTTCTCTGCCTCACAGTTCAGCTCTTTCAAGCGTTCAATGTGCTCTTTCTTTACCCGTAAAATTTTCATCAGCCTAGTCTGGAAAGATCAACCGAGGATGAAAGAAATGAGAGATGAAAATGCTGAAACTAACACACAGTAACAACAGACAACAATGACATTCATAACTGACATCACAAAACACGGGAACAAACGGTCAACCACACGCATAACGACGACGCTTTTCATTCGGGAGCGAAGACACGACCGCCATTATCATCCATCGATGACCAAGGCGGCCAGCATAGAACGAGCGCAAAAATAAACATCGCGCATCTCGCGTCATCGCCCGCCACCGGCTACGACACAAGAAATCCCTCGGTATGGAGTCTCAACGTACCGGATACTACGTGCATTACGAGTGTACTGCGTGCAGGGGGTGGGGAGGAGAGCTTCCTCCTGCTGCTGGTGAGGTCCCGGTCGCGCGCGCGGGGGGAGGAGAGACCGGGACCTCACCAGCAGCAGGAGGAAGCGCGCGCGGGGGGAGGAGAGACCGGGACCTCACCAGCAGCAGGAGGAAGCGGACGCGCGGGGGGAAGAGAGACCGGGACCTCACCAGCAGCAGGAGGAAGCGGACGGGGAAGCCTCCGTACGTCGCGTCCGTGTCGAGGTGACGAAGAAGATCGGACGTCGCCTCTGCGCCTCCCAGCAGCGGGTCGTTTTCCTTAACGGCAAGGAAACGCGGACACACGTTAGAGACGCCTTCACATCACACACGCGCCCCCGGTCTCCCTATCGCACTAACCGTTCGAATTTTGACGCTTTACGGAGGCAGCAAGACTGGTCTTCCCGATCAATTTAGAGCACTGCAAACTATCTTTGCTAGTACGCTGGAGCCATCGTAACCTAAGTACTCGTAAAGCCGGCTCTCTGTTGTTACGGCAGGGTGCAAA